CAATGGCAAAGCAAATCGAAGCAACCAATCACAAGGCGCTATATTCTTTGCTATGTTATACCGTTTGCGAAAAACAAATTCGCTGGCCGGCGAATACTGCGAGCACGTGGTGGCGTGGCCGTGCCAGTTTTTACATGTAGCTAATCTGTAGATACTGCTGGCAAAGCAGCCGCAGCAACAAATACTCGCCCCTGCCGCGCAGCGCGCAACAAGCAAGCAGCAGCAGCAAATGCCCGCCGTAGCCGAGCCGGTGTAGGTGTGACGAAAACTGCGCGATGTTACGCTTCCCGCTATACGGATTCGCGCGCCCGCCCTCCTTCGGCGCGCGAATTCGTATAGCGGGCAGCGCGAAATACTACATACAACACACCGCGGTCGCGTGCGCCCAGTCCCGCGGAAGTGCGCGGTTTAACCGCTCTTGGCGGTCGGGGAACAACGCATCTTTTGCGCAACGCCATCTTGTACCCGGTCTCTCTGGATGGATGCCGAATGAACAGATGTATTGATGGATACGGAATATAGGCCTATAGACCGGCGGATGGATTCATTAGTGTATGTAGGGGGGGGGGGTGACACAGCCAGTCAGAGAAATTAGACAGATGGATGTAGTGTATCAATTGTTGTTTGTTTACAATCTAGATGCAAGTAATTCACTATAGGCCTACTGTCAGTACTGATCACATTCCATAGCTAAATCAGTAAATGGTTAGATAACTTGATAAGGAACACGGCCTATATAGAGTGAGGATAACCCGACCAGGCTTCCAACGATCGACTGTTTCACGTCGTGAGAAGCGAAAAGGGGTCGAAAACGGAAAAGGTAATATAGTGCTAGTGCGTGTCTAAATCGCGGCCACGCTTGCCTTACCCGTGGTGGTGGTATTCATGATGCCGACACGTATTTATAGCCTTCTTTCCCTTCGGTGCAGTGGCGGACGCATAGCCATAGATACGTACCGGTACGGAGTACGGCATACACTTCCCCTATGACATGCGTGCACACCCCTGGCTTGGGCCGCAAGTTCCATGAATTCCGGGGCCTCCAGTTCCACGAATTTCTATGAGCACACCAGGAATCAGCCGGGTCTCATAACTTCATAAGATTAAAAAAATTGTTTCGGCGAGTGAAACGGCTCGATCACACTAATGGTTTATTAACGAAGTAAACAGTTTGAGGGAGGTAGACCACAGACAATAGATAACTGATATGCACAAGCATCTATGCACAGACTAGCGGGACTGTCTCTAGTGTTTACCTCCTACATAATACGACAGCTCTGCCATCTACCGGCAGGAATGCACTCCTGTAGCCCAAGGAGCTATATATATGTTTATATATAGCTCCTTGCTGTAGCCTACCTCTGCCTGTAATGTGGAAATCACGTAATGACTAATGCAGATCTGTTCGCAGATCACTACATGTCGTTTGACAAGCAACGTTAATCCAATGACGTAATCCAAAAGAAGTAACCTGACGTCAAAGGTATTTTACCAAACGTGTTCAACAATACTATGTGTTCATAACTTCATATCGGTAACAACGTGGCATATATTATACACAGGATCTTGGAACAGTGTCAGAGTCAGTACTAGTCCGAGCCGACGCAGACCCCAGTAATGGGTAATAAACCCGCACCCTCAGATTAGCAAAGCGGAGTTTACGTCTGCATTTGCGGACTAAGTCAGTACGTAAAAACTGAAAATAATACCAATTAATATGATTATGAACGCTCATTCACAAATACTACCGAGTGCGTACCGTACGTAGGCCTAGTCCGAGATTCCTCTGACCAATGCCCACACCGACGATTTTGGTGGATTTGGTGTGGCCCTAGCTCTAGTACTATAGCCCGCGGATCGCTGCGGCAGCGATCCGCGGGCTATAGTACTAGAGCTAGTGTGGCCCTAACCCACACCAAATCCACCAAAATCATCAGTGTGGGCATTGGTCAGAGGAATCTCGGACTACCGTAGGCCTAGCCACAAGTTCCCTTCTCGCTTATTGCTTAACACTACGTTTTCAACTTGGCACACATACTTACACGCACGTACACGCGGGTACACGCAGATACACGCATGTACACGCACGTATACACGCACGTATACACGCGGCTACACGCACGTGCACGCGGGTACACGCGGATACACGCACGTACACGCGGGTACACGCGGGTACAAGCATGTGCATGTGGGTACACGCAGATACACGCACGTACACGCGGGTACACGCGGATACACGCACGTGCACGCAGGTACACGCACGTACACGCAGATACACGCACGTACACGCAGATACACGCACGTACAAGCGGGTACACGCACGTACACGCGGATATACGCAGATAAACGCACGTACACACGGGTACACGGAGATACACGTGGGTACACGCAGATACACGCGGATACACGCACGTACACGTGGGTACACGCACGTACACGCGGGAACACGCACGTACACGCGGGTACACGCACGTGCATGCGGGTACACACAGGTACACACACGTACACGCGGGTAAATGCACGTACACGCGGGTACACGCATGTACACGCAGATACACGCAGATACACGCACGTACACGCAGATACACGTACGTACACGCGGGTACATGCACGTGCACGCAGATACACGCAGATAAACGCACGTACACGCAGGTACACGCGGGTACATGGAGATACACGCACGTACACGCGGGTACACGCACGCACAGGGGGAGGGGGAGGGGAAACTAGGGGGGTCCGGGGGCCTGGTCGAATCACTGGCAGCAAGAACAAGTCCGCACCTGCAGCTACAACACACATGCATCTATTGACTATATATAACAACATTATATATAGTTATATATAACTACTACAGGCCTCGACGCTTATTTTCAGATCTGGTTGTCCGTCGCAACAAGGAAGCAATTTGTTTACTTGTGCCCTAGATGGTTTGATTTTACTTGGGTTGCCAATAACTTTGACTTGTGCAATCTGAGGAGCCATTAAATGCGGCTCGGTGTTTGGTTGCAGTGCACAACTATCAGTATTATCAGGAGTGTAAATATAGAGATCTGAATATTATATATAGATAGGATATATTATATATATACATATATAACATATTAATAGATGTAGATACTATATTAATGTATAATTGTACACTCCTGATATTTGCCAGTATTCCCTGGGCGTGCATATAGGTGCTGCGAGCATTGACAGCAGTGTGTCTGGCGCGCGCGTTGCATGCGTGCTGCGGTGTGTATTAACACTTGCAGTATTTATATATCGTATTACTTGTGTATAAACCGCGGCTTTGTACACACTTCCAATAAAAAAATCAGGGGGTGCGACTTATAGACAGGTTAGAGAAATCTGTGTTATGTACCAATTGTTTGTACCAACTTTTCAGACCGTGCAAGATAGGTGTGGTGATACTTATAATATATCCTATGAATTATACTAACTACGAGTAAATCACAGATCATGTAAAATCGTAATGAAATTCAACGTTTATGATTTTCATGCTGCACGGGTGAGTTGTTGTGTTCATTACCGATTGCCTGCTTTTCCTCACACACGAAGAGTTTTGCTGTCGCCTCACTCATCGTAGCGATGCCACCCCCTACATATTCAGTAATGAATATGCTCCAACGCGACATTATAAACAATGTAACCCACCACCCCAAGTACATAAATCAATGTCCCCATGGCCCCGCCAGGGGGTATCGCATTGCCGCTTCTGAATCATCTGGTAATGTGTAGGCATGGTGGTGCTTTTCAGGACCTTTGAAACGTGTTGAAGTGAGAATGTGTGCGATAGCGGCCCTGGCTCAGAGGATATTAAAGGCCATTCAAATTGACCTCATCGAGACTGGGCCATAGTTGATCGAATGCTAGCAGTACCTGGCACCTTGTGTAGTTAATAAGTACATTACCTTATAGCCAAACGCGTTATTCAGCATACGCTCTCAAGCATTCAATATCGACTGCTAATTATTAGCAGTAAATGTCTAATTGACCAGTCCGTAAAATTTGGTAATCTGGCGACAACGCTAAAATTTATAGCCAACGAAAATAAACATCGAGTTCGTTTCGGTGTACGTCACATGTTTGCTAGCCGGATGTTGAAGCATCGAATTGTTGTCCGGCGGGTAATTGTTTTGCCTAGTGTTATTATTTGCCTAGTTGCCACATAATTATATGTTGCTTGTAATCGTCAAGAACTCCGTAATATTCTATTTATTCGCAATCACCCAAAGTAAAACCATAACCGTACGGAATCGGCACTCAGACCTACTAATGGATCGAAATCACTGACGGCCCGACGCATACGTGCGAAAATGTCCGGTGCACTATAATCTGTATGACATCCGCTCGCCGGTTTGCCGGTTACGGCTCGCATGGCGTTTGTAACTGTCCAACAACCGATTTCTTGGACTGCGATTTCAATGACATTTTTCTTAGTAACGCAGCAGTGATATTGGACACAAAAGCTAAACGCTTTGGCTTATAAGGTAATGTACTTTATTGAACTGACACAAGGTGCAGTACTCGTAGCATTCGTCAACCTTGTGCATATCGATGGTCGAATTATGCCTTTAAGAAATATTAAACAACGAACTTTTCAGTTGTCGCGATCGGCAATAGGCAAGAGAATAACTTGTCCGACATAGACTTTCACTTGTCCCGGGCCAATCGGACAACCGTGTAGTGTCGAGGCTGTACTATACAACTGATAGTCTACTATACAACTATAACTACTATATAAGAAAGTATATGCTAATCTATAACAACTATAACTACTATAACAACTATATATAACCATATAACGTTGTTATATATATAGTCAATAGATGCGTGTGTGCTGTAGCTGCAGACCTGTGCGGACTTGATCTTGCTGCCAGTGGGTCGAATGGGAATTCTTGCCGAGGTGGCCCCCTCAATTGCCAGTAGCAGCAGCGCCTCCAAAGCTGACTCACTCAGCCTGTTCCTCATGTAGCCATTCCCATTAATAAAAAATAAAAAAAATTTAAACGTGGCGCAACGATTGAAACGGGGGTGAGGGAGTTTTCCCAAACGGGGCAGGCGCGCCCGGTTTGCGCAACGTAGGGAGAAGCCTGACGCGGGTACACGCACGTACCCCCATGCTACACTTGGCGCCCCATAGTGATTTCGTAACGAAATCGCTCGCAGTAGCTGATTTCGTAACGAAATCACTCGCAGTAGCTGATTTCGTAACATAATCAGTCATGCTACACTTGGCGCCCAGGGGTGCCAAGTGTAGCATGATTTCGTAACAAAATCACTCGCAGTAGCTGATTTCGTAACGAAATCAGTCATGCTACACTTGGCGCCCCATAGTACGCAGCATCGATGTGCACAGCCACTGACGCGTGCCTTTCGGGCCGCTTTTTTCGGCGACGTTATATATTGAAAATATAATGTGAGAATGTCGTGCGATAGCGCCCTGGCTCAAAGGATGTTAGGAATATTACACAACTAGAAATTTTTTAGTTGTCCAATCGGGCAACTAGCCAAACGAATAACTTGTCTGACATAGACTTAATTTCACTTGTCCTGAGCCTCATATCATAGCGCTTCGCAATCTGCTATGAATAAAAAACAGCTCACAATAACCAGCCTATTTCATCAGATTCCTTCTAACTAGACTTCTAATAAGACTGAATCAGAACACACTAAATGCCCTTATGATGGTGTCTGTGGAAGGCCCATCAGCTCAGGACTTCCCCTTCCATGAGGCAGCAGATGCCTGGGCAGCAATTAGGAAAAGGAAACTGGGAATTTAAAGCCTTTATTACGATATTTGATTTTCTACTCATTAACGGCGCTCAATCCGAATAAAATATAGCGAAATATGGTTTCACCTTATAGTATATTTATTTGTATTTTTTGCACATTGCTTTATAACATTTTACTGGTTACATTCACACTAGTATACAATTTGAACAATGAAAAATGACTCATGACTCTTGACTCAACCCAAATTATTTTGAAATATAGGTCATAAATTTTGTGCAAAAATGCTCCAAAATAAGGCTCAGATTGCACCAGAGAGCATCTAAAATCCCTGAGCTGGACCTCGGCCGCAAGTGACTTCGCGCTTCGCGCATGTGATGTGCACTTCGCGCACATAATTTCAAATAATAACCAAAGTACTCCTCTAAAGTTCCCAGTTTCACATGTTTGAATTTTAGGTTGTGGACCACCCTGGTGTCTGTACGCTACAATTTGGTGCGCGATTGGCGCGCAACAGGCCCATACCAGTTTGATGTGGGATAAAATTTTGCAGTTTGTACGTGGTATAAATCGATAGTACCAAGGTACTGTCCGAGATTTTTCACTGCATTCCCACAGCTAGTTCTACCTATGAATGTAGTACTGTTCTCTACTACATTAGTTGTGGGTCCCATGCCTACCTAGGATAAATAGAGTTATACTACAATATCTTGCAAACACTGAAACATGGTTGCAAGCCATGTAATGTATGTGTTGCATCCTATGGTTGCATCAAGAATTACTGTAGTTGATTTAATGAGAAGTTGGTGATCTATAGTTTATTTTTAATTGTTGTTACTTGCATCTACCGTGATTTAATTTTGTCTCTGCATAGGCCCAGGTATTGATTCAACAACAAACTTAATAATGCACTAATCTATAGATTTACTATAATAATATGTCTATTTATTCCTTGCTACAACTAGGCCCCTAAGTGCATATATATATATATATATATATATGGACTTTTTATTTCATTCGGCTATTATCCGTGGATACAGTAACAACTGAATAGATCAAATATTGGGGTCATCTCTTATCCACAACACGTAGGATCTCTATATACTTAGCATTGTAACTTTCTTTTAGGTGAATGTCTGCACAGATATAGTTTCAGTAGCCATCACGTCTTGCAAGGGTCATCAACATGACAGCCCCACTGGGCATCCAGGTGGTGGACAAAATTTGCTGTAAATGCCACAGCAAAAACGTTTGGTAAGAAGGTTATGGAAATCTACATGCATATATTGTGTATCAATGAGAATACTGTGTTGTCAAGTTTCCCACCCTCTCCACATCCTTATTTAGTGATTTTCCTAATTGTTTTTTGTTGTTGGAATCTAAGGGCCCAAGTTTGACCCCGATTACTGTGTGAGTGGAGGTACCTACCTTATTTTCTTGCTGATCATTTCTGAACTCTAAGTGACGAATTGACTTCATTACAGTATTGGTCACCCTCATTGCCTTCTGAAGTATCTCTATACGTGTAATATGCTATTTAATAATGAATGTGGTTTACAATGGCTTACTGATCTCCCACAGGTACAGAAGTTATATCTTGGTGTTCACTTTCTTGTGCTATACTGCTTATCACTTGTCAAGGAAGCCCATTAGTATTGTACAGGTATGCACATCTGTTCACATCTATTACCAATGTTAAAGGGCTATCCTCCACACGCGAGCACATTTCATTATTTAAAATATGAATTTCTACTACAGTAATGTGTCAATTATCACATTAATTGCATAGGTTTTGTAGTTTGTCACAGTTTTAAAGTTAAAAGTGATTGATGGTGTAACATATATATCTGTCAAATAAAGAAACTTGATCGTGAGCAAATTCTTCTCGTGTGCTATATACACTGCGAATGTGCACGTGATAAAATTACACTAAATATGTGTTCATTTTATTGCTGTTAGAATGTCCTTCATGGAAATTGCTCAGCCTTACCAGGCTTTAACAGTTCGGACCCTAACGCGTGCGACTGGGCACCATTTGGTAAGTTTCACTAGCAGGTATTGGTGTCAAATATCTTTATAGTAATGGTGAAAAGATTGTGCCGGTTCCTTAATTTCCTTGTTTCCTCATTGGTACAGTCGATTGAGTTGTAGTGGCAATTACATTCTGGAATTGTCTATGATAGATTTTAACTAGTATTCGTGAACTATTCATTTTTTGGTTGCAATGTTTTTATTACTGTTTTTTGTTATTATATATATATATGTGATTGCAGTCACCAGGGTTATTTGTCTTGTGGGGAAGCTAATGTGAACTTTTAGGTTTGGTTGCTTACTTGGATAACTTTTTGATCATAATATGCCCTGATTTTGAGCCTAAACGTTTAAATACTGCTGCAGATCACTCTAACTATATGGAACTGGAAGGAGCCTTAAACTATGGATATCTCTTCTCGTATGCGATTGGCATGTTCTTTGTGTAAGTTGGCGTAACTGTAATGATGTTAGATGCATGTTAAAAGAGAGTAAAAGAGAGAGTGCACAGCTAAAATTGCATACAATCTCCGTATCAATGCTTCCTGACTCGAGTTGTTTCTTCCTCTACCAATTTTACGCTTCTCCACAACACCAACATTTCAACGTTATGCAACAAGCTGACAGGCATTGGTTGCATTTATTAAGTTTTTTATTGGAAATGTATTCACTGAATCCACACACCAGTACAGTATCTGCATAGGATTAATATTTGAAGAGACCTATATACGTTTACTGATGTTACGTGACAGCATGACTTTTTTCTGGGCAGTAGCTTTGCATAACTGCTGTCAACGACAGACAACCAGAATTATTGTCAAAACTAAATGTACCATTAAAAAATGTGGGAAAACATTGACGGTTGAGATCTCACATTGCCCTGTGTGCTTTTATTGTTACAGGGGGCATATAGCTGAGCGGGTGACACTGCGATACGTGCTCAGCTTTGGAATGATACTCAGTGGGATCACTACAGTATTGTTTGGACTAGGCCGCATTTGGAATATCCACCTACTGACTTATTACATGGCTGTACAGATTGCAGGCGGAATTGTGCAGTCGACTGGCTGGCCATGCGTGGTTACCTGTGTAGGAAATTGGTTTGGAAATGGACAGTATGTTGATAGTTTTGGCGTGTTAAAATGCAGTTCAGTTGTCACTTGAAGTTTGATGTTCTTCTTAAATCTATATGCATAAGGGTAGTAATTGAAAAGGGGGAATCAGTGCTTGTGGAAATGTATTTTTAATCATTTATTTGAATATATAAAGTCATCATGAGGTTATATCACTCGCATTATTTGCATATACGCCCGGCCGCACGTGCGTGCATGCATGCGTGCGTTCATATATATATATATATATATATATATATATATATTATATATGACATACAATTTATCAAGTAGTCTTTGTGTGTCTGTTTCATCATTACTGAATAGGGCATGTAATATTACTATGCATAACTTCCGTGCAGGCTTTTATTACTCATAGTCGCACGGTTTCAAAATCCAGGGTTCAACCTGGAAGCTGCACCTTATATATCCTGTTTCCAAAGTTGTAACCAATGTCGATAACATATGATCAGCACTATCACCATAACAAACTTATTTCGATCAGACTCCTGATGTGGTCATGTCGCCATTTCAGTTTCCTGGGCTGTGATTATTTGATAGGAAATATCGGAGATAATACATTGTTGGGCTAATCAATTAACAAATAATTCCTTTATGCAAAATGCCCACACCACAGTTATGCAGTACATCCATGAACACACGTATAGAGCATATTCTATATATGTTTCCATGACATGCCTGTATTGAATAATCCACAATGAAATGACAGTTTAATATACAATCTGCATCTTTCTCATTGATATGCAATTTTTAGCTCATCTGACATGGTCAGATGGAGCTTGTAGAATCGCTTGAGCGTCCCGACCATCCGTGAGTCCGTCAACAGTTGGGCACAAATCTAAACGGCTCGACGTACGGATTCGAAAGTCGGGACGTAGGGGGGTAATCCGAAAACGAGTTGGGATGTCGAAGCTGGGGGGCAAAGATCAAAGGTCAAGAGGTGTAAAAGAAGGGGGAACATTCCCTCCTTAACTTAAGGTATAGGGAGGAAATGCAGAATTACGGCACAAATCTAAACGGCTCGACGTACGGATTCGAAAGTCGGGACGTAGGGGGGTAATCCGAAAACGAGTTGGGATGTCGAAGCTGGGGGGCAAAGATCAAAGGTCAAGAGGTGTAAAAGAAGGGGGAACATTCCCTCCTTAACTTAAGGTATAGGGAGGAAATGCAGAATTACGGCACAAATCTAAACGGCTCGACGTACGGATTCGAAAGTCGGGACGTAGGGGGGTAATCCGAAAACGAGTTGGGATGTCGAAGCTGGGGGGCAAAGATCAAAGGTCAAGAGGTGTAAAAGAAGGGGGAACATTCCCTCCTTAACTTAAGGTATAGGGAGGAAATGCAGAATTACGGCACAAATCTAAACGGCTCGACGTACGGATTCGAAAGTCGGGACGTAGGGGGGTAATCCGAAAACGAGTTGGGATGTCGAAGCTGGGGGGCAAAGATCAAAGGTCAAGAGGTGTAAAAGAAGGGGGAACATTCCCTCCTTAACTTAAGGTATAGGGAGGAAATGCAGAATTACGGCACAAATCTAAACGGCTCGACGTACGGATTCGAAAGTCGGGACGTAGGGGGGTAATCCGAAAACGAGTTGGGATGTCGAAGCTGGGGGGCAAAGATCAAAGGTCAAGAGGTGTAAAAGAAGGGGGAACATTCCCTCCTTAACTTAAGGTATAGGGAGGAAATGCAGAATTACGGCACAAATCTAAACGGCTCGACGTACGGATTCGAAAGTCGGGACGTAGGGGGGTAATCCGAAAACGAGTTGGGATGTCGAAGCTGGGGGGCAAAGATCAAAGGTCAAGAGGTGTAAAAGAAGGGGGAACATTCCCTCCTTAACTTAAGGTATAGGGAGGAAATGCAGAATTACGGCACAAATCTAAACGGCTCGACGTACGGATTCGAAAGTCGGGACGTAGGGGGGTAATCCGAAAACGAGTTGGGATGTCGAAGCTGGGGGGCAAAGATCAAAGGTCAAGAGGTGTAAAAGAAGGGGGAACATTCCCTCCTTAACTTAAGGTATAGGGAGGAAATGCAGAATTACGGCACAAATCTAAACGGCTCGACGTACGGATTCGAAAGTCGGGACGTAGGGGGGTAATCCGAAAACGAGTTGGGATGTCGAAGCTGGGGGGCAAAGATCAAAGGTCAAGAGGTGTAAAAGAAGGGGGAACATTCCCTCCTTAACTTAAGGTATAGGGAGGAAATGCAGAATTACGGCACAAATCTAAACGGCTCGACGTACGGATTCGAAAGTCGGGACGTAGGGGGGTAATCCGAAAACGAGTTGGGATGTCGAAGCTGGGGGGCAAAGATCAAAGGTCAAGAGGTGTAAAAGAAGGGGGAACATTCCCTCCTTAACTTAAGGTATAGGGAGGAAATGCAGAATTACGGCACAAATCTAAACGGCTCGACGTACGGATTCGAAAGTCGGGACGTAGGGGGGTAATCCGAAAACGAGTTGGGATGTCGAAGCTGGGGGGCAAAGATCAAAGGTCAAGAGGTGTAAAAGAAGGGGGAACATTCCCTCCTTAACTTAAGGTATAGGGAGGAAATGCAGAATTACGGCACAAATCTAAACGGCTCGACGTACGGATTCGAAAGTCGGGACGTAGGGGGGTAATCCGAAAACGAGTTGGGATGTCGAAGCTGGGGGGCAAAGATCAAAGGTCAAGAGGTGTAAAAGAAGGGGGAACATTCCCTCCTTAACTTAAGGTATAGGGAGGAAATGCAGAATTACGGCACAAATCTAAACGGCTCGACGTACGGATTCGAAAGTCGGGACGTAGGGGGGTAATCCGAAAACGAGTTGGGATGTCGAAGCTGGGGGGCAAAGATCAAAGGTCAAGAGGTGTAAAAGAAGGGGGAACATTCCCTCCTTAACTTAAGGTATAGGGAGGAAATGCAGAATTACGGCACAAATCTAAACGGCTCGACGTACGGATTCGAAAGTCGGGACGTAGGGGGGTAATCCGAAAACGAGTTGGGATGTCGAAGCTGGGGGGCAAAGATCAAAGGTCAAGAGGTGTAAAAGAAGGGGGAACATTCCCTCCTTAACTTAAGGTATAGGGAGGAAATGCAGAATTACGGCACAAATCTAAACGGCTCGACGTACGGATTCGAAAGTCGGGACGTAGGGGGGTAATCCGAAAACGAGTTGGGATGTCGAAGCTGGGGGGCAAAGATCAAAGGTCAAGAGGTGTAAAAGAAGGGGGAACATTCCCTCCTTAACTTAAGGTATAGGGAGGAAATGCAGAATTACGGCACAAATCTAAACGGCTCGACGTACGGATTCGAAAGTCGGGACGTAGGGGGGTAATCCGAAAACGAGTTGGGATGTCGAAGCTGGGGGGCAAAGATCAAAGGTCAAGAGGTGTAAAAGAAGGGGGAACATTCCCTCCTTAACTTAAGGTATAGGGAGGAAATGCAGAATTACGGCACAAATCTAAACGGCTCGACGTACGGATTCGAAAGTCGGGACGTAGGGGGGTAATCCGAAAACGAGTTGGGATGTCGAAGCTGGGGGGCAAAGATCAAAGGTCAAGAGGTGTAAAAGAAGGGGGAACATTCCCTCCTTAACTTAAGGTATAGGGAGGAAATGCAGAATTACGGCACAAATCTAAACGGCTCGACGTACGGATTCGAAAGTCGGGACGTAGGGGGGTAATCCGAAAACGAGTTGGGATGTCGAAGCTGGGGGGCAAAGATCAAAGGTCAAGAGGTGTAAAAGAAGGGGGAACATTCCCTCCTTAACTTAAGGTATAGGGAGGAAATGCAGAATTACGGCACAAATCTAAACGGCTCGACGTACGGATTCGAAAGTCGGGACGTAGGGGGGTAATCCGAAAACGAGTTGGGATGTCGAAGCTGGGGGGCAAAGATCAAAGGTCAAGAGGTGTAAAAGAAGGGGGAACATTCCCTCCTTAACTTAAGGTATAGGGAGGAAATGCAGAATTACGGCACAAATCTAAACGGCTCGACGTACGGATTCGAAAGTCGGGACGTAGGGGGGTAATCCGAAAACGAGTTGGGATGTCGAAGCTGGGGGGCAAAGATCAAAGGTCAAGAGGTGTAAAAGAAGGGGGAACATTCCCTCCTTAACTTAAGGTATAGGGAGGAAATGCAGAATTACGGCACAAATCTAAACGGCTCGACGTACGGATTCGAAAGTCGGGACGTAGGGGGGTAATCCGAAAACGAGTTGGGATGTCGAAGCTGGGGGGCAAAGATCAAAGGTCAAGAGGTGTAAAAGAAGGGGGAACATTCCCTCCTTAACTTAAGGTATAGGGAGGAAATGCAGAATTACGGCACAAATCTAAACGGCTCGACGTACGGATTCGAAAGTCGGGACGTAGGGGGGTAATCCGAAAACGAGTTGGGATGTCGAAGCTGGGGGGCAAAGATCAAAGGTCAAGAGGTGTAAAAGAAGGGGGAACATTCCCTCCTTAACTTAAGGTATAGGGAGGAAATGCAGAATTACGGCACAAATCTAAACGGCTCGACGTACGGATTCGAAAGTCGGGACGTAGGGGGGTAATCCGAAAACGAGTTGGGATGTCGAAGCTGGGGGGCAAAGATCAAAGGTCAAGAGGTGTAAAAGAAGGGGGAACATTCCCTCCTTAACTTAAGGTATAGGGAGGAAATGCAGAATTACGGCACAAATCTAAACGGCTCGACGTACGGATTCGAAAGTCGGGACGTAGGGGGGTAATCCGAAAACGAGTTGGGATGTCGAAGCTGGGGGGCAAAGATCAAAGGTCAAGAGGTGTAAAAGAAGGGGGAACATTCCCTCCTTAACTTAAGGTATAGGGAGGAAATGCAGAATTACGGCACAAATCTAAACGGCTCGACGTACGGATTCGAAAGTCGGGACGTAGGGGGGTAATCCGAAAACGAGTTGGGATGTCGAAGCTGGGGGGCAAAGATCAAAGGTCAAGAGGTGTAAAAGAAGGGGGAACATTCCCTCCTTAACTTAAGGT